GAAACTTCGTCTCAAAAAAAAAAAAAAAAAAAAAATAGTTACAATAAATATGCTCAATAATTTGAAGGAAAATATGAACATAATAAGGTGAGAAAATAAAAGATGTAAAAAAAAATTCAACAGATGAGCTTAACAACAGATTGGAGACCACAGAAGAAAATAACAGTGAACCTGAAGACAATAGCAACACAAACTATACAAAATGAGGCAGAGAGAAAAAATAACTGAAAAGGAAGAAGCAAAGTCTTCATCGGTGAGATATAAAGCGTACATATAATTACAGTCTCAAAAAAACAAAGTGGGGGGTGACAGAAAATACATTTGAAGAAATAAGGGCCAAAATGTTTTCCAAATTTGGTGAAAATTATAAACTGTAACATCCTTTTCCAAAGATAGTCAATACAAGATCTCCCATTTTACATGTTTTTCTTACCTATGACACTGTTACCATCAAGTGACGAAATCCTTATTCTCTCACCTTGAACTTGGAAAGTACTTTATGACTACTTTGACCAATAACATATGACAGAAGGAACAAACGCTATACATGATTTCCAAAACTAAGTCATTAAAATGCCATGCACTTCTGCCTTGCTCTCTTGAGATCTGCCCACCACATTATGAGGATGCCCAAGCTGGCACATGACTCTCTAAATTTTATAGGATCCACATCCTAGGATATGTAAAATAACAGAGTTAGTATACCAACAAATATTTGAATACCTGTATACTAAGACCAGGAAGACAGCGATGAACAAAATAGACTTTCTGTTCTAGTAAAGTTGACAGCTTAAGAGAAAATAATAGACTAATAGTTATTTAAATTACTACAAGTATGTTAAGTCCTATAAAGAAGCTTTGTAGAGCACTACTGATTATCAGAAAACACTAAGACCTCAATTTGCAAAGCATCTGGGAATAAAGCTTTTTGCCAAGTTGGCAGGACGTTCCTTCCTTAGGTCAGAGTGAGGTCAGAAGTGATACCGCCCCAGTTATAGCTCTCTTAGAAGACCCTTGGCTTCAAGGATCTGTGTCTGTCTCAGTGGACTGTTATGACTGTGAGAAAAGGTCATTTGGAACCGAGAAGAACCGCAGATATGAAGTCCTTCAGCTGATTATTCCTACTTCAAAATAAAGGCAGCTGCTTTTACTTTATACATTATAGGCACACCTTATTTTTTATTTTTTGAGATGGAGTCTTGCTCTGTCGCCCAGGCTACTTGGCTCACTGCAACCTCTGTCTCCAGGGTTCAAACGATTCTCCTGCCTCAGCCTCCCCAGTAGCTGGGATTACAGGCACTTGCCACCATGCCCAACTAATTTTTTTATTTTTGAGACAAGGTTTCACCATGTTGGTCAGGGTGGTCTCGAACTCCTGACCTCGTGATCTGCCCACCTCGGCCTCCCAAAGTGCTAGGATTACAGGCGTGAGCCACCGTGCCTGGCCAGGCATACCTTATTTTCTTGCACCTTGCTTTACTGCACTTTGCAGATTTTTTTTTTTAAACAAATTTAAGGTCTGTGGCAACCGTGTGTTAAGCAAGTCTATCAGTGCCATTTTCCAACAGCATGTGCTCATGTCATGTCTGTCACTTCATGTCTCTGTGTCACATTTTGGTAATTCTTGCAATATTCCAAACTTTTTCATTATTATTATATCTGTGATCGGTGATCTTTAATGTTACTATTGTTAATTGTTTTGGGGCACCAGGAACCATATCTATATATGATGGCAAATTTAATCAATAAATGTAAATGTTTTGACTGCTCTACTGACTGGCCACTGCCTCAACTCTCTCCCTCTTCTTGGGCCACCCTATTTAATAGTGAAATTAGGTCAATTAAGAACTCTATAATGGCCTCTAAGTATTCAAGTGAAAGGAAGAGTCACAGGTCTCTCACTTTAAATCAAAAGCTAGAAATGTTAATGCTCAGTAAGGAAGACATGTCCCAAGAGGCCAAAAGCTGAGCTTCTTACACCAAATAGCCAAATTGTGAATGCAAAGGAAAAGTTCTTGAAGAAAATTAAAAGTGCTACTCCAGTGAACACACAAATAAGAAAGCAAAACAGCCTTATTGCTGATACAGAGAAAGTTTGAGTGGTCTGGATAAATGATCAAACGGGCTGCAACATTCCCTTAAGTCAAAGCCTAATCCAGAGAGCAAGGCCGTAACTGGAATTCAATTCTATGAAGGCTGAGGGAGGTAAGGAATGCCACAGAAGAAAAGTTTGAAGCTAGCAGAGGGTGGTTCACGAGTTGAAAGAAACTGTCTCTGTAATATAAAAGTACAGGTGAAGTAGCTAGTGCTGATGTAGAAGCTGCAGCAAGTTAGAAGATCTAGCTAAGATTATTGATGAAGGTGGCTACACGAAACAGTCTTATATAGGAAAAAGATGCCATCTAGGACTTTCATAGCTACAGAGAAGTCAATGCCTGGCTTCAAAGCTTCAAAGGACAGGCTGACTCTCTTGTTAGGGGATAATGCAGCTAGTGATTTAAAGCCAATGCTCACCTAACATTCTGAAAATCCTTAGGCCTTAAGAATTATGCTACATCTACTCTGCCTACGGTCTATAAATGAAACAACAAAGCCTGGATGACAGCATATCTATTTACAG